CCAACCAAACCGATTCTGAGATTCTGTGAAGGAAGAGCTCAGACCCTGGCTTAGCTGACACCCAGCAAGGAAGGGGTGAGTGAGGAGGGCATGGGGGGTCCAGCTGCTGCCTAGGACTCACAGGGCATAGCCTTGGCTCTCTCCCAGCTGGTTTTAAACAAGAGTCCCCAAAAAAGCAAGAGTCTTGCAGTGGTCCAGGCTGGTTTACAGCATTGGCCACAGCCTAAGAGCTGAAGGTGCCTGCACAGGGCATGGGGACACCCAACCAGCAGGAGAGGCTGGGGGTTTACTGGGGAACAGTGCTCGCTGCAGTGCAGAGGGGGATGCACTGGAGGGGCACTGCAGACCCCCATGCTTGCCCAGGGTACCTCAGTCAAACCCCCTTTCTGCCTCTCATGGGCACCATGGGACTCTCCCAGCCCAGTCAGGGCTGCACAGGACAGGCCGACTCTGGACCAGCATTGTGCTTTCCCCAACCTCAGAGATGTGCAGGATAGGTCCATGCCCCTCAGCCTGCCCACCACCCACACTGTCCCAGCAGGACCCACACTGCAGCAGGGAGTCATCTGCAGAGGATGCAAGAGGGGTCCCTGCTCTCCAGCCAGGCTCAGGTGTGCCGAGTGCTCCGATCACTTGTGTGGTCAGGATCTGGCCCCTGGGCCTCTCCCTGGGTCTAACTTAAACCTCACCAGGCCCCGAGGACTCACATTTCGACCTATCCACTTATTCACAGGCTTCATGAGGAAGGAGGAGAGGAAGCCACTGATGTACATCACCAGGGGGATGGTGGCGATGTATTTCTGCAAGAGACAAGGACAGGGAGAAGATGAGCTCCGGACCATTGGCACAGGACCCCTGCCCACGCAACCTCAACACGCGGGCAGGGACCTGCCCTGCACCCACCTTGGGCAGCAGCAGCGAGTTGGTCAGGTACATGGCGATGTAGGTCTGCGACAGGTTGACGATGAGCCGGGTGGACATGTAGAGCACCGCAACCTGCAAGGGGACAGAGACAGGGCAGCACCGCTCAGCCTGCGCAAACTGGAGATAGGGAAGGTTGGCACCTTCCATGCCCAACCCTGTCATGGCACGGATGCCCACTGAGAAGGGGACAGCCTCCCTGACATGGTAGGTGGGTGCCCAGTACAGCCCATTTCTCCATCCTCACCCACACTACGGGCACATCCCAGTGCCAGAGGATGCCCACAGCACCCGGGCAGGGCAGCAGCCCAGGACAGGCACCGCAAGCCCTGCCCGCAGCCGTACCTGGTAGAAGGCAGGCTCCAGCAGCCAGTCCTTCCAGATCAGCAGCGGGCGTGGGGGGCTCGTAGGCTCCTTCTGCAGCAGGGGTGTGCTCTCCTCCAGCTGGGGCAACGAGCCCGGCGGGTATGGCTTCTCTTTGGTGCCCAGGTGGAAGATGAGGGAGAACACGGCCCCCAGCCCCACCACAATGAGGGACAGGTTCTGGGTGAGGAAGAGGTGAGCATAGCAGGGGGTGCCCTTTGCCTGCCCATCATCCACCTCTCAGCAGTCTGGTGGATAACGAGCGGTTCTCAAAAAACCAGGGAGAGCTCAGTGCAGCCCCTGCCCAGTGTGGTAGGTGGGATTTCAGGGCACTGTTACTTCACTCCCTCCCCAGTTGAGCCATGTCCCATCCAGCAACGAGAGGACCCCAAGGACTGAGTCCTGCCACTTACCCGAAATATAGGGACATCCTGGACGCCTAGGTGCTCTGAGCGGTCAGGCTGGTTTTTTTGGAGCCAGGCCAGGCCATACACAGTGATATTGGCCATGACGGTAAAGGCATACCTGAGGGGAGACAGCACCTCAGGGTGATGCACAGGGACACAGCAGGGACACCTCAACCCAAGGCTGCCCTCCAAGCCAGGCATGCTACAGCCAGCTTTGCACATCGCTGTCATTGCTGAGATGACATCTCCAAGAGCATGCAGCATCTGGCCAGGCATTAACCTTACTGGTGCACCTCCCAGCATACCCAATCCAAGCCTTGGGGCATCACTGGGAGGAAACCAAGATCCCTCTAGGCCAGCCTGTCCACCCTCTGGTCACAGCTCACCTCTGCCCCAAGGATGCCCGGAGCTGCCCGACCTCGTGCCCCCAGAGCCAGACCCCTTGGCCCCAGGGTTACCCCAGCACAGCCCCACATCCTCCCTGCCCAGCTGCGGTCCCCGCTTGCCTGCCGAAAGAACTTCCTCCCACCGGAGCAGATAACCAAGCTCTGCTCCATCAGATAAACACTCCTTCCCGCAGCCTGATCCTGCCAGATAAGCGGCACTGAGCCGGGCTCCGTGCACGGAGCTGCACGTGCTGCCCAGCCTGGCCTTGGGGCCATCCCTACCTATGGGACAGGGCACAGGGCCATGCCCACCTCTCCCTGGGGGGGTCTATTCCTCCTCTGTAAGCATCACCCTCCAGTCCCAAAGGAGAAGTGCCCCCAGCTCAGGAAGTGTCCCACAGGCTGTGTCACCAACATCCCTGGCATCAAGACATTCCCTCCTGGCACCAAAAGGTTTGGGTCACCAACTCAGAAGACCAGTGTCACTTGGACACATCCTGCAGGACACCCACATGGCTCAGTCCTGGTCCTGCTGTACCGAGGGCTCAAGTGTGCCACGGCACCCAGGGGACATCAGACCCGTAGCACCCAAGGGACCTCTTGTCACACAAGTAATGGGACCCGGCACAGGCAGGGCTGCTCCCCCAGGGCTGCTTCCAGGGACACCGAGGTCTGGCCACACTCACCTGAAAGCTGTGAGCTCCACCTTCTCATGGTCACTGGTCACCAACTCAGGGATGAGGGACAGGTGGGAGATCTGTGTGGCCGCCCAGCCGAATTGGAAGATGATGATGAAGGGGAGGTAGTAGATGAAGGCTGCCCACTGCGGCGTGTTCTCCTTGCAACCCAGGCAGGGGTTGAAGATGAAGGGGAAGGACACGAGGACGCAGGTGGTGCCTGGGAAGAGAGCGGAGCAGTGAGAGGATGCAAACCCCGTTTCCCTGGGACCCCAACGGCCCCAGCTGGTTCAGACACAGACGGAAAGGCACAGCCAGCCCTCTGCTAGGACAGGTTCTACCCCACAGAGCTGGGGAGGGAGGTGGGCCCCTTCCCCCAGCCAGGTGAGACACATGGAGCCCCAGACACCCCCCTCAGCCCATCCTGCACAGGGTGATGTCCTTCCCTCTCGTACCCAGTGCCGACACAGACAGACAGACACTTGTCAGCAGACTTTTCCTCAGTCAAATTCCCCCCACAAAGTGCAGCACCATCTCACACCCGCTCTGTCCCCTTCAAAACGTCGGAGGACAGACCCTGGCACGACACGCAGGCACCAAGGGCTTCTCTCCCCACCTCCAGCGTGCAGATAACCAGCCCCAAGGACATGTGCCACCCTGCCACCTGCCCCAGGGCGATAAGGCACCCTGAAGGCCAGGAGGGCTCCGGGCTGTCCCGCGGGCTCAGGGCCAGCCCATCGGTCCCCTTGTCCCTTCTCCCATGGGACTAGCAGCGAAGTCACGCTCCCATCACGCTTGCAGAAGTCAGTCGCAGAGCGATGGCCAGGGACACCCCCAGTGTGATGCGGGGGGGACACAGAGCCAGATTTGCCCCCCACGCTGGGCTCTGAGCCATGGGAAGGTCCCGGCAGGGTCAGGGACAGCAGAGCCAGGCTCCTCCCTCTGCCGCAGTGTGATGGCGTGGGGACGCCTGCGTGGAGCAGGCAGGGACAGGCTGGCTTCTTCTTCTCCTTTCACAAGGTTATGGAGCAAATCCGCTGAGATGCTCCATTGCTCCTGAAGCCCAGGCACCAACGCGGGGACGGCTGCGTGCCCTGTCCCGTGTGTCCCCACCTTCACCGGGCACTGCCAAAGCACCAGGGGAATCTGTTCCTATAGCTGAGGGGAACCTGCAGCCGCTCGGTCAGGTCCCCAAGGTCCCCTCTCCAGGGGACTTTGCAAGATCCTCTTCCTCACGAGCGATTTGAACGGCAATTTCTCCTCCTCATTGCTTCCGTGTGGCACTGTCACCCCAGCTGCTGCAGGGCTGGGGCAAAGCGGTTCTCCCTGCGCCGAGGGCAGGCAGTGACAATCCCAGCCGGGCTCAGATCTATCCTGAACAAGGGCCCTGGCAGGGTGCTGGGTGCTGCCCTGCACCAGCTCACAGCTGGCGCTGGTGCTCCAGGAGCTCACCGAAGGGACAGGACACTCGGGCACACTCTGCCCCAGACAAGCCAGCAGGACAGGCAGGGTCTAAAAAGGTTCAAACCAGACCAGACGTCCGTTCTGCCTCTTACAGGGCTGTTGGTTTTAATTAAGCCCCGTCTGGAGGACTGGGGAGGTTCTGTCCCCTCCCCAGCCCCAGGGCCCCGCAGGATTGGGCTCTGCGGTCCCCTGAGGGCTGCAAGGGACTTGCTCGCATCCTCAGGGGAGCGCTGGGGCAGGGAGCTGCGGCCCCCAGGCTGCTGCAGCCTCCATGTCTACCCCTGTGCCCACCCACGAGCCATCGCCGCTGTCACACACGCAGGAGACTCCAGTCACTTTCTCCTTTTCATGGCCCCCAGGGACAGGCAGTGCCCACCACCACCTCCATGGAGTCGTGCTCCTCTGGGATGGGGCTGTGACCTGCATCCCAACATCCCCGGCTCTGCCCAAGGAACACGGCTTCACCATGAGCCAGAGGTGTCCTGGGGACTCCCCACTCTCCCAAGCAGGGCTATAGGAGACCTCCAAGACCACCCTGCCCATCCCCGCAGCACCCCCAGGGCAGGCAGCAGAGGTCCAGGCTCTCATCTCCTGGCTCTGTGGGACAGGATCACGAGAATGCCAGGCGACCCGGGAATCACAGGCACCCCCCGGGGCAGGGAATTTGGGACAGCGCTGTCAGACCGGCTCAGACAGGCAGCAAAGAGCCGCTCATCCCTCCCAGACCATTGAGGCAGGAAGCTGCCCCCC